TGGTCATCATCGGACCCAAATAATTGAAAGGAAAAGCTTATAAAGAGACAGTTCTAATCACCACGAGAGGGTTTCACTTTCCTGTGTTGATGTTGTAGATATACCTGTATGGATAAGGCAAAACCAAAGCTTGGTTAGATGGCTGGTTATCTAGTGTCGCAAGTGTTATGCCAGTCGATGTAGAGAGTTATGCTTTGGGGGTAAATCATCTTTTATAGTTGATTGGTTCACGTGGTTTGCCCCAGATGTCTGTGGTAATAGATGTCGAAATAAATCCTATTGCTCTCTATCATATTAGCTACTTACATTCCCAGTACATTTCTTCTGCATGCATCCTTCTTCTTGCAGCGAGGACTACCAAAACGCTGCATATATACACTTGCCACAATCTGCCTCAAGGCATCCATCACACTGTCCACACTTTTTCCTCTTGGCTAAAGACCTATTAAAAAAGAAAAAAGAGTTAAAGCACAATTTATAAAATATAATGTCACATTTTTCATACATTAAAGAAACAATTTACTGCTTTTTCCCTACACTGTCGGTAGTCTTCTTAAACTGTGGTTGAGGTTCGCTCTTTTCAGCTGGAGCAAACTTGTCGACTATAGTGAGAGACTTGATTCTCATCTGTGACTCAGGATCAGTGAATGCATCAGCTGCATGAGCTTCCAAGGATGATGCCAGAATAGAGAGAGAGTAGAAACAGCATGATGAAGCATATTATGGGGTCATTGATTATTCTAGACATTTCAGCACCCGCTCTGTCTCACTTTCCACTGTTAATTGCTTAGCATGGACAACAGATTCTGAATAAACTTATTCCATAACACATTCATCAAATTACGTGTGAATATCGTACCCAAGTGATTGTTGCTATTGGTTGGTGGGTTGAATATGAATGGTTCAGGTTGTGGATTGGGGTCTGAATTTTCATCTTCTCCATCGGCCAGAGCTTTCACTTCGTGACAATGTTTGCAAAGGTGCCCTTCTTGGTAGTGCCATCAGGTACATTTAATGAGATATCTGCACAAGTAAACACATTCAGATTCTGTGCATCGAGGGACACATCTCTGCTCTGGGCATTGCTGCTCAGACACCGTCACTTGATATGTTAGTACACAATCTGAAGCTCAATGATGTAATTAGTTCCATTATTCTGTTTATAGTAAAGACATTGACATTTTTATGGTGCTGTTTATGAACCACTGACCTGCACAAAGGTGCTGTCATTATTGATACCACTACTTTGCCTATCTCCCTCTAGCTTCAATGAGGCATCTTTAAGACATGTAAATTAAAAATCCTGCGAATTTAAAAAAAGAGGCATATAAGGATGGTATAAAAAGAAAGGGAGACAAGATAGAGATTGGATACATGAAACATGGCCAACGAACGTATTTAAGCACGCTGACACCCCCAACCCCATCACACAATCCCTGTATTGTTGTCTGGTGTGCTACTCTTATAGGGAATATGGCATTATATTATATAAGGGCTAAAGGTTACTAAAAGCAAGCATTCTTTCACCGGGTCCCTGTTGTTTTTAGTAACATTTCTACTTTTATACTGCCACATTTCTTTTATTTAAACTCCACTTGGACTCTATAACACTGTAGCATGACTTTTGTACAATGAGTATTGTAATGGTGGATGTTTAGTACTTCACCTAGGCATTTCATTACTTTAGTTAAAAGAAGATAGAACAAATTACACCATTTTTATTCAGTCTATGTAATTCACCTGTTTGGTTCTTTGAGCCATGTAGGTGTCACACTCAAACTTCAGCAAGATATGAATAAGGCTGTCCAGTCAGCGGTTAGGCTGATGATTGAGATGCCGTGGGTGATTCTTCAGTTTATTGTGGAAACTATGTTTACAATGGTTAGTACATAGCTTATAATAAAGGTTTAGCTTACCTCTCAACAACCCTGTTTGTATCAACACCACTATGGTCAAAATGTCGGTAGCAAAGGGTCCACTTCTCTGCATTAATATTGTGTTTTTATGTGTATTCTACTTTATTATATGCATTACCTGCGCTGCTTATTATATGCAGTTTGAAAATATTCTCTGAATTTAAGTTCGTCTTCTTTCCATGTGCACAGAATGTGCTGTAATGGCTGGTGGAAACTCTCTGGGTCTGGACTTATATTCATCTGGTATAACCACAGAAACTCGAACTCATACGGATTGGTCTTGTGAGTAGAATCAACAAATACGATTTTATGACTGCGCTTTTGAAAAATAGATGCTTGAAACTGTGTCATTATGACTAGGAGAAAGCTATCTTCACTGAGGCCTGGGTACTTTTCATCTACTTTTCCTTGAGGCTTGTACGCTATGGTAGGACTATCCTCTTCATCTTGTAACTCCACAGAGACAATCCACAGACACAGCATCATTGTTGTGACGGTACTTGACAAGTGTTCACAGAATATTACATGCATCTTGCCTAGCTAGTGATGAAGGTGGCCCCCATGTTGCTATGGAGAGAAAGTTATCACGATTTTATCTATTCATCAAGGGATCTCTAATTCCTATTTAGAAGTAAGAAATGTTGGTTTGTATAACAATTTGCTAACCAAAATGGAGCTCTGATTAACATCTTGCCTACACTTCTCCCCAACTTCTTCTCTCACAGCATTGGGAAGAGGTGTGTGCTAAACTTCAGCTATTCCATGTGTATCATTTGTATGAGTACGAATTGATGTACTGAGCAAACACATTTCCACTTCTCTCCTTTTGTATGGTAATTCTAGAGAGGCAATACTCTAATTTCATGATCCATGCCGCTTCCGGGTTTGGAAGCTCTTCTTTTAGCAATGATTTTCCATTGCCTTTCCGCCTCGACAACAGGTGTAAAGCACTGTAGTTTGCCCTTCTGCAGTTTTGAAACAGTGTAATAAAGTAGCATATTTACCTTCATCTTTACTTTCCTTGGTTCCATTGGTTTTGTGTAGCATGTGAATGTTTCCATCTCCTCTGTCTCTTTCCATTGCAGGAAGGCACTCCAGTCTGGTTATCTATTACTGATTGGATGAAAAGCACTAGTGCAAACCCTCGGCGCAAAATGCGCACGTTTGTAGTTTTGTAATGTCGCCTAACACAGGCTAGGCTACATCTCAGTGGGTAGTGGGTCTTGTCGCTTTATTGCTCGTGATATTTTTATCGTTCTTGCTCTGAAGCCAGTGTTAGCTATCACTCATAGATCGCCTCGAGCCTGTAAGGATGCGGCAGGAATATTTGGCCGTGAGTACATGCAGCCCCGCACCTGCTGCCTTGCATTTGATTACAATAGCGTCCAAGCGAAAGTCCGTTTCCAATTTTCAGAAATACTCACCACTTTTATGTCATTTGCAAACTATAGACAAAATTTGAACAACTGGATGAAACTTGATAGGCATTATTACACTCAGCGTGCATGCGCAGCGAGGGTACGGTAGTTGGGTCTGTGTGTCTGTCTGTCTGTTACTCTACATCTCACTTCTCGAGTGTTTGTTCATCTCACAAAGGATATGACCTACTTAACGGGCAATGAAGGTCAGAACAGCCTTGCGGTTTGTTGGTCTTTCACCAGTACAAAAGAAGCAGCTGGATGATTTTCTAGCAATGAAGCACTCTGTCTTTTTTAAAGATTGTCAGATTAAAGTCAATTCGGGATTCAAACTAACTCGACATGGTTCTGAAGGGGTGCACAAAAATTTGCTCAGCTTGACCAACATTTATCTGTTTCACAAAATCACTACAAAGTGGTAACAATACCAGAAATTGCGGGGACATCACGAGTTTGACGTCACTGTAGAATTAAAAATAATTCGTGCGTGAGCCAAAGATTTTTGGGCAGGGGTTAGTATAGGCCCAATACAAAGTTTAGCGGCCAAAAGGGGTCAAAAATAACCTATGAACTGGGCAAAATGGTTAAATATTCGGAGCGCGCAGTGCAGACGTCCATGACCGATTAAGTTGTAGGACTCGATCAACTGTAGGACGTTTCTTTGGACGCTCTATGTACCAATAAACTTTGAATAGCCGGCTACAGCAGACATCCCAACCCAGCCGCGACGAGCTACCGGGCGGTGGCCGTCAAAAATCCTAGTTTCCAGGCAGTAGTATAAAGCTAGCAAGGCTAGCTATCCCTCCACTGCCAGTACCTGCCCTGCCTGGACTAATACTGAACTTCGGGCGCTACACCTCGTAAGTTCGTGGCAGGTTGGCCTAGCCCATGGCATAGCCTCCAACTAAACTTTACGGTCGTCCGTACACATAATAAAAAATTTCCGTATTTTGCGTAACTTTTCCGTAGCGCGCTTGAACCCCCGTCGTAATACCTTCTCGAGCGCTTCTCCTCCGTATTCTTCGATTTTTGCCAGTACACTTTAAATGGTGTTCGAATTACGTAAAATTATTATTTGCAGCTGTTGGCGAGAGTAAACAATGGCCGAACGCGTGGAAGTTGCGGAGCTGAGCTGGCTTTAAGCGCATTTTGGGTTCCCACCTCTGTACTCTCCTCCTTCTAAATGCACTGTGGCTCTGCTTGTGTAAGGGATACACAGCAGGAGAGAACACTTCCATCTCAGGACAGCTCCTGACATTGGACCCAACCTGCACCAGGATTGAGACAGCTATTCGCAAGGCAGCGAGCAGACTCCATCGCAGGAAGAGGAGGTGCAAAGGGTCACGTGAGAGGGACAGGTTGAGAGACGGGGAGACATATGTACTGGTTGGGGAAGGAGAAACAATACAAGTGAGGGGATTACAGGAAGAGCTACAGAGGAAGGAGGTACACATGAAAAGTTTGATAATGATGAGTAAAATTCAGCAGAAAATATATCAGGAGGAACTGAGGAGAGTGGAGGATCAGGAGAGAGAGACTAGGCAGCAGCTGGAGGAGCAGAAGAGGGAGACAGAGCAGGAGAGAAGAGAGAGAGAATCTGTGACTGAGGTACTTGATGCTGCGCAAAACAAAGGAAGGAAACTGGAGGACGTGAGTAGGAGAAAAAAATCTGTGGACTTAAGCAGAGCCTCACGTACATTCTTTAGGTAGGGGAAAGACAGAAAAGGAGGAAGATATCCCAGTTGAAGAGCTACACTAAGCTTGCTCTGAAACCTCTGGAGAGTTACGGCCTTACGCTGCACAGTGTCACTGCAGTCACAGACAAAGGATGCTCTTTGTCTCTTGATCTGTCTCCAGGAACTTCCTCAGCACCAACACCATCACCTTCTGTCGCTGCACAGGGGAACACAAGAACAGCTCTCTTCCTCCTTGACAGATTTGCAGTGTCTGATGAGTTTTACCATGAACTTGCTCAGGTAAACAAGAGTATATACGTATGTAGTCCTGACTTAGTACATCACTTACGTGTACACAAACTCAACATAGACTTTCCCAGAGATGCCCCGCCTACACCACATCAAAAGGCTCCGCAGCTCTCTCAACGGTGAGATCGAGATCCTGGGTCTCCCTCCTCCATATGTAGGACGCTACATGAGACTCAGAAAGCTTTGAAAGCCTGTGGAGATTACTCTCTCTCTGACATTGAGAAAACTGACATTCATACACTGGTGTCTGTGACGGTCAAAGTGATGATGTGCGAAAAACCCAGTACTCTTGGGTCCAAGACAGAGCAAAATGTTGTTGTGAGTAAGGCACAGCATGTGGAAATCTAGACCGATGTGAGCTGGTTTGAATTGGCATACAACACAGCTACTACACTAGAATACAGATACCGGGACTGGATACATAAGTGGGATGAATTTGGCAACATAAAAGGGGTGAAGCAAAACAAAAAGTGCAAAAGGCAGAGGAAGAGTGAAGAAAATGCAATAATGCAATAGTATACAATACAAGGCAAGGCAAAGTGATATGGGGTCACAACTTAAAACAAAAGAAGTGTAAAATGCAGGCAGTAATGAAAAATTATACAATGCAAAGCAAAGCGTGATTATATTACAATAAGAATTGACTTGAGGTGGTGAATGATATGGGTTGGTGAAACATACAATGTGACTTTGCAGTATTAGCAATTTTGCGGTGTTGGCAGTTTTGCGGTGTTTGCGGTTCTGGCAGTTTTGTGACATATTATACCTACAGCTAGTTACTGGAATTTGTGGTATTCACAGTAAACTTTGTTGAGGATTAATCATCTAAGTCATTGCACTTTTGTTTCTACTGTTGTCAGCTCTGGTGTCTATCTTACATGTTGGCCTATCTTCAGCAGGCCATACACGTAGCAACCTTACTTACCAAGCATTGGTATGGAGGGGCCAGGCAATTAGTTACCGGAAATAGAGTAGCCCGGCCCCACCATACCAATACTGCTGCAACTTTGGTTGAAGCAACGAAGTTTTGCCGCATGTATTGCCTGCTTTAGAATGAAATACTGCAATAGACTGTGTCATGATCTAAATAGTATGTATCTTTGATGTTAGCAACAGTATATAGTGTCATGTGAATTGTGATTTTTATAGTATGTCATATGGTCTATAAGTGTGCCTTTGGGTGTTGTTGGTACTTGCACTAACTGTCTGTAACTGAAAATGGACATAAGCTTAAGAACTGCTGAGTTTGTCTGTTGTAAAATATCTTCATTAAAATCTCCAACTACTACACAAGGCGTGTTACAGAGTGAGAGATGTGTCAACAATCTTGACAGTATAGGTATCAACACTGCCTGTGGTACACTAGGTGATCTGTATACTACTGCTATTTGCATACTGTCTCTGTTAGGAACCTGTAATGTGGCTGATACTGCCTCAATACCATTGGTTGCAAACCTATGTTCATTGGATGGGTTCATTTGCCTAGGGACACATATCAACACTCCACCTTTGTTGTCACATGTCAGTCTATCACATCTGCATGTCAATGGTCATCTCGAACACAGGGACGGCGGAGAGGCAGGGGGAGCAAAAGGCGAAAAGAAGAAGAGGACAACGAGAAGAGAGGAGGCGGGGTGTGGCGCTCGAATGGGCAGGCCAAAGGGGGAAGGAGGGAACGCAAAGGCAATAAAGGGCAACAGACAGAGGAGAAAGAAAAAAAGAAATGCAAAGCAAAAAGAATAAAAGGTGGAAAAAAGCGCAAGAAGCACAAGGCAAAAAAAACAAAGCGGAAATAAACAAAGAAAGATGAAAAGAAGGGCAGAAGGGCAAAAAGAAAAAGAAGAAAAAGGCAGAAAAGCAATAAAAAAGAAATCAAAAAATCAAAAAAAAGAAAACGCTACAAAAAAAAACAAATAAAAAAAAAAAAAAAAAACAAAAAAAAATAAAAAAACAAAAGAAAAAAGAAAAAAAATAAGTAACAAAAAAAAAAAATAAAAAAAAAAAAAAAACAAATTGCACAAAAAAAACAAGAAAGAAAATAAAATGAAATACAAAAAATAAAAATTTCACATAATAAAAAAAATAAAAAATCACAAAATTTTCAAAAATCACTGACACCTTAGGTACTGGTTGCAGTAGGTTGGTACATAGCCTAACAATATCATTTTCCATATCAATGCTTTTCTTGATTGCTTTGGCATTGAGTATATGCAATCCATCCAGTGTTCTTAGACAACTAAATGCAACATAGGCTTGTCCAGGACTGATTCTGCCTCCTTTCATATCCACAACTATTTCATCAAGTGTCAGACCTTGTACCTTGTGTATTGTGGTAGCCCATGCTAATGTGAGTGGGAACTGCAAACACTTGATTTCAGATCCTCTCTTTCCCTTGGCAAAAAATGTTTTGTCAAAGGCACAGCATGTGGAAATCTAGACCGATGTGAGCTGGTTTGAATTTATTTAAGGCCGACTCTGCTATTATCAAATTTCACAAGCACACTAATAACATCATTGTTATTGTTGGTAACTACATGGATCACTTCACCTCTAGCACCATTCACAAGACCATCTGATACATCAACATTGGCTGTTAGCATAACACAAGCACCAACAGCTAGTTTGAGTGTACCATGATGACCACCTGTATCAGATCTTCTGTCAGACAGACTGCAAGGGATGGTTTGACCAGCTACAGAATCAATGAAAAGCACTGAAGTGCAAACCCTCAGCGCACGGTGACGCGCACGCGTAAGTAAACGCATGCGCCGTAACACTAATTGATGGGCTGGGTTTAGTTTTAGCTGTTACTCGTGGTCTCTTGCCAGCTCGCGCAGAGTCTGGCGCGGGCTAACTACACTACTAGATAGCATGCGAGAGGAGATACACGCCCTGCGTTGCATCAGTATCTATCAATGAGGCTCTTCTGAAACACATTCATATCATTGTCCTCTAGTTGGGTAAGTGATGCATTGTCTTTGAACACGGCAATTCGCTCATTTTTGGGGTCAGTATGAACAAACACAAATCTACTAAGTTGCTTCATTGGCAATGACAGTATTCTATAGAGAGCTTCTTGTGCACTTGCTTTTCTGTGTGTAAGGAATGCTGAACCAACTTTTCTCAACTGAGATTTCAATTCTTCGGTCCTCGCTTCAGCAGCTACACGTTTCAGCAGTTAACCCATGGACCTCTCTGTTTTCATGATATATGAGGCTACACACATGATACAGGCATATGCGTTCAGCACAAACTGAATCTCCATGTTAGCTTGCCACGCTAGCATCACTGAGGGAGATTGTAGTTGTTAATGAAACATTCACTGGGCTCACGCTTGAGTACCACCACATTGCCATTAGTAGACACTTCTAATGCATCTATGTAGTCTTTCTGACTTCTGCTTTGTCAAGTAACTCAGCAAGGCTCAAATCTGCGTTACCATCAGCTATCAGCTTTTGTACTTTACTTAGCACAGCCAACTCCTGGTTATTGTTGCCACTCTCATGATCATCTTTTGTAATAAGGGTTTTGGCGAAAACTGAATCGACAGGTTTTTATTTCTCCTGCAATATGAGGAATGTTTGTGCTTTTGAAGGAGGAGTACAAGGTGTTTCAATTTGCCATCCTCAGCTGTGACTTTACATGAGACGTACTGGTCAATGAAGTCACACACATCATCATTGTTATCTACACCAAACTCTGGAGCATTATTGACCCATATGACACAGTGTGCATGTGGAGAACCTCTGGCTTGAAACTCTATTCTGATGGCATAGTCGACTATTTCACCAAGGGGGTTGGCAGTGATTTCAAAAAGTCTTGGAAAAGACACTTAGCCTGTAATGAAAATGCCTCGCTGCAGTAACAGGGTTATTCTTTAGTCAATTGGACTTCTCGTCAAATGACAATGCTGCAACCTCATCATCAGTGTAATGGACACCATACTGTCTAGCAATGGTTTGGATCATATCAGGCCACTTGAGGTCTGCTGCTGACAATGTGAAAAATCATGTTGGTGTGCCAAGTTGGCACACCAACATGATTTTTCACACCATCTAACACTTGCTTGGCTTCTACAATGTAGATAATCAAGGTCTCTAGCAAATCTGCCATCTACACCCAACAGTCTCTGATTGAAATATTTTCTGTATGTAGGTTAGTTTTTAGGCCTTTCACTGCTAAATGTGTCTTTAGCAAAGGGGAACTTATCAGGATTAGACATGGCTTCAAAGTTGGAGTCTGTCATGATATTGAGTGGTTTCTCTCCCGCAGCTGGTGCTACACAAATGATTTCTCTAGAACTCTCAGGATTCTCAACACACACCATGCTGGCCATAGGAGCACCACTAATCTGCCTTCTGATGCTCATCTCCCTCTTCTACTGTTGCATCATCTAGGCTTTCATCTTATATTGGGGTATTCTCAGTATTTTGTATACTCTGTTGTACACTGGAACCACAAACAGGTATACCTTGTGTCTAGAGCAACATAGTGACACTGCAAGATAAGGCACACAAAATCTCACACTCAGCACTACAGATGTCAGGGGTCACTGAA